CATTCAGGTCAAAGCAAAATCAACAATGGCTGGTGCATGTCTAAACCTAATTAGCAAACAAACCATTGTACTGGTTCTGCAAATATGGAAAATGATAAAATACCATTCAATTTTAGGCAGAAGTAGAGCTCAGTTAAGCACCCAACCTCAATCGGTATTAAGGACGTTGGCGTGAAAAGCAGTAAACAGAACATTTTACAAAACAGATACAAAGCTTTCAAACTCGAGCACGGGTAAATACACCCAGAAAAAAAATTGCAAATGGGCAACTGAATAATAGACTCCTCTGCTACAGTTACAAACAAAACGCGAGCTCGAAACATGCAGCTATGAATTCAAAACGAGAAATGAAGAAAGAAAGAGACAATACCTTTGTGAATGTTGAGATCTGCAATAGTGAGGCCATCATCATCTTCCAGCTGTTTTCCTGCGAAAATCAAACGTTGCTCCTCTGGTGGAATCCCTGAATAGAAGAAATCGGAACATCACAAAACCAGTGAGATGCCGTCGTTTTTTTCCCCCTTTCAAAACAAACTACCAAACAACGAAGAGAATGGAACAAATAAATAAATAAAAATTGATAAACTAATAAATAGGAACAAAAACACAGGAAAATCTCAAAAAATCGACCTTCCTTGACGTGAATCTGAGCCTTGACGTTGTCGAGAGAGTCGGTCGACTCAACGTCGAGCGTTATGGTTTTGCCGGACACAGTTTTCACGAACATCTTCTCTCTTTCTCTCTCAGTTTATTTCTGTTTGAAGAAGACAGTCACACCCAAAACATGAGTAACTGCATGTATTTATATATACAAAATTAAATTTAAAAAAAAAAAAATACGTTTGTGTGGTTTAGTAGTATCAGTTACTATAGTACTCTCTTCCAAGCAATGACTCTAATTATAGATTAATATAATAAAAAAAAAAAACCATACATTGCACGACACGTACGACGTGGTAAAATGCATGTTCAATACTCACAGCCTTTTCAACTTCCCAAGTTCAAATTGTGGAGAATATTTACTATTAATGTATTTAATATATACATATATATAGACAATTAATGAATTGATGTTTTCCCACTCATTTTTTCATTTAACTATAGAAACTAACCATTGCATTTTACTTTAATTAAATGTAATAAAATATTTTTCCTACCTATTCATCATATAATAATTATTTCTAATATTAGCTAATTATAAATTCACCATTAAAAGATTTATGAAAGTTACTAATTGTAAAAAATTAATAGTAAACATTGTCTTTCAAGCTATTTAACTTATAATGAATTTCATTTTTTTTTCTCCGTAAACAATTTTTTAAGCAACTAGCTAGTTGATTTTAGTGACATAGGAAATCCTTTAAAATTGCGTAAATAATAGTTATAGCAATTATCATAATTTAGTAATTTTTCAACTATTATTGTTTACGATTATACGAATTTGTAAAAATTATATTATTCATTATATTTTATGCAATTTATATATCGATTCATATACTAGTAAATAGTTATAATTATATTGTTTATTTTTACTATTTATCAAACTTATTAACTATGATATGCCTATATCATAATTTTATATATAATATCCATACATATGACTTATAATATTTTTATTAACACACTTGTATGTGCATAGTATTTATTACTAGTTACAATTAACTTTGGGTAATATGTTTATTTTATATTTTCAAAAAATTTACAACACATTTATATTTTAGTTATATGGTTGCATTTTTAAAATGGTTTATTGAGAAATATAGTGAATTCATATATAATGTAACCTTGTTTTGCTATGGAGTTAACAGTTGGCTCTATAGTGGAACCAACCTTCTATAAACATCAAATAAACTTACCATATTCATAAACTATGGAGCCAACTGTTGGCTTCACATCAAAATCGATACATTAATCCATCATATCCCATTAATGATAAAATATTTCCTTGCACTTTTTTTTTGGCTTAGTTAAGACAAAAACTTTTATATTTTATATTAATTGAGCAATGATTATATTGTTTTAATAATACATATTATTTAATTATATTTTACACTAATGAAATATAAAAGTTACATAAATATAAATGGATTATTTATTTTAACCAATGATCAGATTTTAAAACATAATACTATTATCTAACTTAAAACTTTAATATTATATGCATAAATATAACTTATCATACTCTCTTTATAAAATTTAATATCATTATTTAACTTATAATTTTAATATTATATGAATAAAAATAACTTATAATACTTTATTTATATCTGTGCAAAATGCACAAAGTCGAATACTAGTTTAGTGGAAGTGGGCACGTAACACAAAATAATTTTATTTGACGTTTTTTAAAATTTTAAAAAAATATATACATGAGTGGAACTAGACATGGCCACCGGGTCGCCCGGCCTGCCGACCCGACACAGACCCGGCCCGGTCAAACCCGTTGACCACGGGTCCGGGACCGGCCCAGATTTCAGACGGGCCGTGTAAGGGTCTTGTTTTTTCGCCATTGACCCAGCGGGCCGGGTCGGGTCCGATCCGGCATGGAAATAAATCAAAGGTTTGGAATTTTCTTTTTTTTTTTCTTTTTTTTCAAAAAAAACGGGCCAGACCCGGGTCGGGCCCAGCCCGGCCCGGCGGCCATGGACCCGGCACGGATTTAGGGCGTGCCGGTTCAGGGTCGGCTTAACCCAACCCTTCGGCCCACCGGGCCGGGCCGAGTCCGGGTCCGGCCCGCCATTTGGCCATTTCTAAGTGGAACTGATGCAAGTCGATCCATGTATTTAATTTAATTCAAATTCATTTACATGTATTCTTTAGTCATGCACACTCTACATGGATGGGGATATATGCATTATAACCTACGAACATCTCTTTGTACCTTGTGCTAGGCGTGTAGTGGGCTGTTTAGCATATTCGCTACATTTCCCTCTTTATGTTATATTTTGGTTAAAATAAAAAATAAGATTGATTATTGGTTACGTGCAAAGGTGTAAGGAAACTTATATGTTACATGCATGAGTGTAACTTGAGATGTAAGATAAATATCATTATATTGCATGTCATAAGATGAGGTTAAAAAATATTAATACTTATTGGTTTAATTAGTCTTGGATTAATTAAACATAAATTTCATCTGGAGTTTAATGGTTCTTCATTCAAGAAGATGAGTTGTGAACATTATGTAACCTCTCGATAAAATCAGAAAATTGTAGTTGTTGATTGATATTAAACGAAAATAATTTTTAAAAATAGATTTTGTTAAAACTTTTGATACCTAAATTTTTTGTTTAAAATTAATTTTGTGGTATCCTAAAGCGTGTAAATAACTTTGTATTTCATATGATTTTTTTTTTTCGAATTCTTTAAAAAAGTTTTGAATTAATTTATGTTCTTAACTAACATTCATTTTCTTTAAATAAAAAAATCATTTTAAGGAATCCTAAAGCGAGTAAACAACATTATTTTTCATATCAGGGAATTTTTTTGTGGAGAACTTTTCCAGATACATCCACTTTATAATTTAAGCAATTGAACCATATGATTAATTTACAATATACAAGTCAAAACTTGGAAAAATATCCAACATTTTATGGATTAATTCTATAATTTAATTACCTTATTATAAAAATACGTCGTCTTTAACTAATCTATATATATATATATAATAAGAATTAACATTTTTTAAAAATAGTAAGCAAAAAAATAGGGAATAATAATTGCATTTCATTTTTGGTATGTTTTTTTATTTTTTTAATAAAAAAACAAGTAGCATTTAATGCTAGAATAAATCATGAGATTTGTTATATAGATGCATATTTAAATTTCAAACTTCAAACAAAACATGCCTAAATGTAATTTGAATTTTTTAGGGGAAAAATTTAGCAAACACGTTTAAGATCAAATACAATACATATTTTTATATGTTATCTTAACATATAGGTTAATTAGTTTCATATCTAAACAATATATAAACAAATATAACAATTTTTCGTACAATACAGACAAATATATAAATAATATATTTATATACAAATATAATAAACAATACAAACAAATATATTAACTTGTCACGTGTATATTTTGTACAATGCATATATTTATATATATTATCTTAACATATAAGTTAATTAGTTTCATATCTAAACAATATATATTTTAGGAACCTAAAGATCCATAACATTACTGACGTCATGTATATTTATGATATATTGTCACGTACATTTTACTATAATTGGTAACTTTTTTAAAATTATTTGAATAACTGGAGGTTGATTTGTAATTTAAATTTCAAATTCATTCAAACATTTAAAGGAAAATATCATAAGCAGATTTTTTTGATACATTTCGTTTTATCTCAGCTTACATATAATCACATTCCTACCAAACATTAAATTTGCTTATATCTTTTTAATTAAATTAAATCAATAAATAATATTAATATACACTACATATTTATCATTATATAACAAATGTATTACTTCTACAAGTGTTATAAATAATAATGACATTATATGATAATAGATTTTTTGATAGATTAATAATTGAGTATTATGATGAACCAAAATATGTAAAATTATTATTATTTTGTATTAAAAAATAAATATATATGTTAAAATATTATTTATAATAATATAAACGGGTCAGCATGTTAATATATTGTGAAAATAATTTTTTTTTTTTAAAAAAGTTCTAAAGTATGGAAACCCTGTGCATCGCATTAGATTCTCACTAGTTCAAATTACCTACACACCTAAATAAATCGGAATGTGATATGCAAATTTGTCCTAATTTGTTAGCTATTCTAGAGGTTACATTCTCTTGATAAAAAATGTCAAAATTATTTTTGGATTAACATCACACAATTATTTTTTGGATTAACATCACAAAATGTCAAAGTTATTGTTCTTACAAATTCACATATCTCAAACTAGCCCAAATTTTATCAATCATTTTAAATAAGTTGGTGTGGTACTGTGGTGCATAGGTGAAAGAATTAAGCGTAAACTCGAAGCCACCCGTGCAGCAAGTCTCGTCGTTCATCTCCTGATATGTTTCTCCAATAGCAGCAATTTAAAAAGGGTATCTATCCCTTCAATTACAAATAAAAATCTTTATTAAGGAACTAGAATCGTTAATTCGATAGCTAAAACGCTATGTAGAAGAGAGAGAAAAATAAATATAAAAAAAAAAAAAAATAAAAAATTCTCCATACCTATCAAGCTCCCAGAGTCCCTGCGCAGAGTTTCACTTTCTTCACTTGTTTAAAGATCCTTGCTCGCGATTTTGTGCGCAGAAGGAGAGATGGCGGTGTCTCAGCCCAGCAGATCAAGAGACCTGGACAAGCTCCTATTACGGCCCGGCCAAATTGTTGGCCCTAACTTTGCACCCGGCGAAGAAGTAAAGTCTCTGCCCTTGCTCTTTCCTTTTTACAATGTTCTTTTTTTTTTTTATTTTTTTTTATTTTTTTTCCTTGAATCGTTTTGACAAATATGTGGTTGCGTCCGGTTTGCCACACATTGTTTTATCTGTTTGGTTGCTTAGAATTTAGTTCAAACGAATTGAGACTTTCGTTTCTGCTTTAATTGGTCCAGCTGAGGGAGGACATAAAGGAATGTATGAAGATTTTGGTGGTGGGAGCAGGTGGGCTGGGCTGCGAGTTACTGAAGGATCTGGCTTTAACTGGGTTCAGGAAGCTGGATGTAATCGATATGGACCGCATTGAGGTCACCAATCTCAACCGGCAGTTCCTTTTCAGGTGCTTGTATTGCTAGTTGCTACGTGTTGGTGATTCTAGTGTTGTTATGCTGATATTGGTTAAATTCTGAAGATTTTCATGTTATTGATGATTAACTTCTTCCCAATGTAGGTGCTACGTTTTGTTGAGTAGTGTGCAAACATGTAGGTTGGAATTCTGGGTTTAGGCCATTTCCTTTTTCTTTTCTTCTTTGTAAGTGTATGAAGTCCTATTTCCATATGGACCATATTTTCATTGTACGAAAACTTCCTTTAGCCTGTAAAATCTTGTGCCATAGTTTTGAAGAAGATTGAACTATGGGACTTTGTTCAAACTTAAAATGGGCTTAAGAACTTGTAGAGGTTTTACTTGAACATGTGAAAAGTATTTTGGCCCATTTTAACCTAAACTATGTTAATGCCCCTATTTAGGACTTCCTGAACATTCTCAATGTATTCTTATTCTAACATGATGTGAGTGTTAAATCATTATTTTGTTTTCTTTTACTGTAAGTCTATAATGAGCTTAGAGGAAATGTGTTCGCTTGAGAGACATTTTCTGAATTTCTTTGCAATATCTGTTCACCGTCTTTTTCTACTGTAACTTTGCTTAATGCTAAAAGGTATTGGTATACTTTTGGTGTCTGTAGGCTTGAAGATGTAGGAAAGCCAAAGGCTGAAGTAGCTGCAAAACGAGTCATGGAAAGAATTAATGGTGTACATATCACACCACATTTCTGCCGCATTGAGGACAAACCATTGGATTTCTATAGTGATTTTGGCATAATTGTCCTCGGGCTTGATTCGATTGAGGCTCGGAGCTACATAAATGAAGTGGCTTGTGGATTTTTAGGTTTGGCTTCACTTACTAGAATCTGGTTCAGGATCTTTAAAATGGAAGACCTGGAGAAATCTGACCAAGCAATTGCGTTATCTGATTATTGCTTTAGTTGGAATTAGTATTTTGTTTTCATTATCTCCCATACCACTTGCATGACATATTTCCCATTATATTCTATTTGAGGCCTGTTTCTCATCTTATTTTTTGTTCACATTTTACTTAAGGACTTCAATCATATTTGAACTTGCGCCTGTCTTTCTTGTTATTCCAACCCGTTGTTCTTTCATTTATTACTTTTAAGGTCTGCTGCCTGACAATCATATGTTCAGCTGTTTAGGCTCCATAGGGTATATATGCTCCTATCTCCACTGACCACAAGAGAATTAGATTAGTTGAGTAACCTCCAGAATCAGAATATACAAGAAAAGCTTTCCTTCAGCTATGAATTTGCTCATTCTTTAGTTTGGGTGGCTCTTTCGTGTTTTCTTTTTCTAATTGGAAATTGCGTTCAAGACTCCTTGCAGGCTGAACGGATGTTTGAGTTCATATGAAATACTATGTATTACAACTAGAAATTTGGACAGCATCATACATTCTTTCTATTGTTTCTGTATTCTCCTCCATTTTCCTATTTTGTTGTTTATTCTCAAAGCTACTGTGTAGATCAAAAGCTGATAGTTAAAAAAACTACTCATTGATTAGTGTGAGAAACAATGATAACTGTGAGTTGGACCAAACACTGCATGTCCTTTGCTAATGGACACCTATCTCATTTTGTTTCTTTTTCCCTTGACTGGTCAACTGCACATAAATGAAGATATGTAAGATCCTAATCAACCCATAATTAGAGGTGTATTTACTAGAAGGTGAGCCAGGACAAGAACTCTCTCTTTCCGGGAATTCAATCTAAAACCATGATTTCAATTTTGCATGAACCTCTTGTTTTATTGTATGTTACTGAATATCTCCAGAAAACACTGCTCAACAGCTGTAATGATAAAATAAGTTTTTGAGTTGACTTATTTCTAGGCAAATACTTCAAAGAAAATGATCAGATTGTTAATCCACTGTGATCGGAATGATATAGATGATTTATGCATGTGTATTGTGTGATTCAAGGGGACAAAATATTCGTAAGTCCAATGCAATTTATTTTTGAAGTGCATTAACACCAAAGAAGATGATTCGTCGATAGTCTGGCTGCCGCTTAAAGTTTCTTTCTTTTTTTTTTTTGATTAACAAGAATATGATTCTGATGATACCCCTCGAGAGGGTACTGTCAAACCAATGGTGGATGGTGGCACTGAAGGGTTCAAGGGCCATGCTAGGATTATACTTCCAGGAATTACACCTTGTTTTGAGTGTACAATTTGGCTATTTCCTCCACAAGTGAAATTTCCTCTCTGTACCTTAGCTGAAACCCCAAGAACTGCTGCTCATTGTATTGAATATGCCCATTTGATTAAATGGAATGAGGTGAGCATGTGTTTTAGTTTTTAATTATTTTTCATATTATTGTTTCTATTTTTACCTGTATAGATTCCACTGTGTTCTTTAGGTCATTAACATATGATGTTTTGCACTTACAGGTTCATGGTAGCAGAAGTTTTGATCCAGATAACCCTGAAGACATGCAATGGGTTTACTCAGAGGTAATAAAATAACAGAGTTCATGTTTTTCTGCAAGTATTTGGAAAAGAATATACAAAAATTTGTTGTAATCACCTCTTTTCTGGTCTCATTTATTAGATTGATTGATTATTCTAACAGGCTCTCAAGAGGGCAGAACTTTTCGGAATTCAAGGAGTTACTTATTCTTTGACTCAGGTAAAAAAGCATGAGTATCTCAATCATTGCTTTTTGTGTGCTTATTTATCTTTCTACCTCAGTTCTTGCATTTGGCTAGTGACAATTAACTATACTGTTATCTAACTAACCTTTCGTGATATTTGTTGCATTGCTAAAGTAAGTTGTCTTTAAGACCTGACCTGGTCAATGATTGGGTCACTTGGTCAATTGTTGAACCGAATATATAATTTTAGAAATTTTAAAATTATAATATACTATTTATATTATTTAAGTGTAATACAAAAGTACCAAAACAAATAATTTACATGTAAATTTTGTACCTCAAAATCTTAATAATGCATATCTCGTAAATAATATTTTCCAACACAAATATATACACATAATTCTATTTTTAAAATATAAAATATAAAAAAAAAACCAGGTCAAATTGAGTTGATCGACTGGGTTTGACCGATTCTTTGTTGTCCGGTCCAAAGGACGTAGCCGGACCGGGTCCGGGTAAAAAAAAAACAATGGTCTTTACATTTGTTGCTTACAAGTCAAGAAACAATGGTCTTTAGATTTGTTGCTTATAACTAGTTGCATATGCAATAACAATTAACAAGTAGCTCATTTGTAGGGTGTGGTGAAAAACATCATTCCTGCCATTGCTTCTACAAATGCTATCATCTCAGCTGCTTGTGCTCTGGAGACCTTGAAAATCGTTTCTGATTGCAGCAAGACATTGTCGAATTATCTAACGTATGCCTTAACTTCTGAAATTTATTCTTGTTACAACAAATTTTATCTTTTGTTAGTATACTTACACCACCTAAATATATTCTTGCCCAATAATTTAAAATATACCTTTAATTGTTAAATTCAATTCTTTTCCCAGGTATAATGGAGTCGAAGGTCTTCATACCAAAGTTACAGAGTTTGTAAAGGACAAGGATTGTCTCGTTTGTGGTCCTGGCGTTCAAATGGAGTTGGAGAAGTCTGTTACTCTTGGAAAGGTCTTACTCTATATATTTGTTCTGTTAAACCTTTATGGACTATATATTACATGTATGTCTGCTTATCAATTTCCTTTTTTTTTTTTTTGTTTTCATTTGCACCAGTTCATTGCTCAACTGGAAGATCACCCTCGGCTGCTCCTTACCAGAGTTAGTGTTACACACAGAGGGAATAACTTGTACATGCAGGCGCCTCCTGTATTAGAAGAGATGACTCGGTCGAACCTTGATTTGCCCCTTTTCGAACTAATGGGTGGAATATCTGAGGATATTGTTCATGTTAATGGGATGGCTGGCAAAGGTGACAAGAAGCAATCTTGTTTGAGGAAATTACGAGTCTTGTTCAAGGGAACTGATGAAGTTGCTGATATCGATATGGCTGGCGGGGCATGATTCTTTTCTGCTCTTGGCTTTTTTCTAATTTTAGTGACTTTTTTTTCCTCCCATTTTTGGATTGTAAATGCGAACTCGTCAAAAGCATGAACCGGTGTGGCCTGTTCTTGAGCCCTTTGATGAATTGCGTTAATTGCGCAGGTGTTATATGAATTGTGAAGTTACGAATAGAATTGAGATTTGCCTTGATTTAAAGAAAATGCATGAAATTTAGGCATCGTATTATTCTCTACCTAGTTGTGTTTGCATGGCCCTCAAGCTATAACTGTGAGTATATGGCCAAACAGATGCTAGCCACAAACTTTGAGGCTCTGGCCTGTGGTACCATATGAACTCACCAAAAACAGGTCAGCCATTTCTCTTTGTGCTCTGCAAAAATGAATTATCCTTTACCTCAAAAGGATGCAAATTAATTCATTAATGCAATTTACAAATGAAAAACTCATTTTCAAATTCATTTTGCAGTAAGTGTCACAGTAAACAGTAATTCTTCTTCAACTGATGAACTCATTTTCAAAATTCTATCACATCAACTTTTACACATTTTCAATACAACCCACGTATAAAGAATTTATAAATTAAATTCCATATCCTTTTATATTCAATAAAAAATAATATATTTATAATAATTTATTATAGATTGATTATTTTTACACCTGCAAAATATTGAAATACATATTTGTTTAATCTGCCAAACCTATTTTTTCTTATTTAACTTCAAAAAATATTTTAGAAGGATTGTATGAATTTATTGTTCTCTCTTATTAAGATATTACTGAAGTACTTTTAAGTATTTGTATAAATTTTGAAGTAAACTTTTTACCAATATTTTTATCATTGTTGAATTGACTTTATCATTTGATATACATAATATATATCTAATTTCTATGATAATTCATAGTTTAAGTGTCATTTTTTATTGTTATAGGTAAAAAGTTAAATATATGTACATATATATTAATAATATATGAAGGAAATATATAATATTAATTATTTTAAAAATTATCTTAACTTTTATATTAATAATATATATACTAAAGGATATATATAATAATAATGGTTTAAAAAGTTATCTCAACTTTTATATAGCCGAATACATTAGCATACATAGAGCTTTTCGGGAGGAATTTAAAAAAAGTAATATATATGTAAAATACATCAATGAAAACAATAAGTAGAATCTCACTAAATATATAGAAACTGGTATTTCACACATCATCAAAGCACTGGACCATTTTATAATTTCTAAAAGTTTTGTGTTTGTCTAAATGGAAGACCCTAAAAATATTTGCATGTCAACAAGAGTGACAGTCACGTTGACGTCTCTGTATCCTCATCCGGTGTGTGTGTGAGAGAGAAAGTGGGAGAGAAAGAGAGAGAGAGTCATGTTGGTGTGAGCAGTACATTTTAACAACCATCTCACTCTCAGCCTAGAAAAAAATATCCTCNCTTCTGCCGCAGGTCGAAGCTCAAACTCCTCTTGCCGATCCCCCTTCTATATAAATGTTAGCTTGTGGCTTGCAGAGTCTTTTTGGACAATTTTTGCGACTAGTTGTTTGAAAAGAAAAAAGAGTTTATTTTATTTTATGTGTTTTGTTTGTTTTTATGTATTTAGTAGTCTTCTCATGGAGTTTGTAGTCTTCTTTAGGGAGAGTTACAGTATCGATTTGAGAGAGAGAGAGAGAGAGATTATCAGGTTTTGTTGAAAGAGTAGAAAGACCCTTGAGATCTTGAGAAACCAATGGTGAATGTAACATGAATCTAACTTCATGCACGGAAAAAGGGAATCACCAACTTCTATCCTGAGCACATGTGTTCATGTGTGATTTTACACCATATTTATATAGTATCTAGAGCTTATTCATTTTATTATGATAGTGATATGAACAAAATATCAAAGATTCATTGAAGAGGAAAGATTACACTGAGAGGAAAGATTGTTTGTATACAGGCGAGAGAAAAAGTGAATGAAAAACTAAAACAAGAGCTAACCCTAATTTGCTATATATATATATGAAACCTAAACTGAAAGTGTTGAACACTTAACAAAAACGTGTTTGGCCAAATACAATGCCAAATAATATAAAATACACTTGATACTCTAATATCCCCCCGCAAGAGGAACATGTATATTTACAATGTTCATCTTGGAGAGACAAGTGGAAAATGGCTGTGAGTTGAGTGGTTTTGTAAGTATGTCTGCAATTTGGTCTTCAGAAGGAACAAAATGCAAGGAGATGATTCCTGTGGAGAGTTTTTCTCTGATTAAGTGGCAGTCGATCTCGATGTGCTTTGTTCTTTCATGATGGACAGGGTTCTTGGCAAGAGAAATTGCAGATTTGCTATCTGAAAGTAAAGAAACTGGAGCAGTATGAGTAATGTTCAAATCTTTTAGCAGGTATAAAAGCCATTGAGCTTCACAAGTAGTGAGTGCCAAGGCTCTATATTCTGCCTCTGCAGAAGACCTACTGACAGTAGGTTGTTTCTTTGATTTCCAGGAAATCAAAGAGTCACCAAGAAAGAAGGCATAACCAGTTATGCTTCTTCTTGTATCTGGGCAACCAGCCAATCACTATCACTATAGCCTTTCAAAAGTAAATTTGAATTTCTAGGATAGAGAATACCTTGTCCAATAGTGCCCTTAACATACCTTAGAACCCTGTTGGCAGCTGTCATGTGTTGTTGATTTGGACAAGAAACAAATTGACTTAAGCAATGAACACTGTGAGTTAAATCAGGTCTAGTGATAGTTAAATAAAGCAATCTGCCAATTAATCTCCTATACTCAGATGCATCAACAGAAACAGAATTGTTATCAGAACAAACAGCAGATAGTCTCAAATTGGAATCCATGGGAGTTTTGGCAGGTTTGCATTCCAAGTAACCAGTGTCTTTTAGAATGTCTAATGCATATTTTCTTTGACAAAGATGAATGCCTTTGTTTGACTGAGCAATTTCCAAACCAAGTATGTATTTTAAAGTTCCCAAATCCTTTATGGTAAAACAAGAATCAAGATGTTGTTTGATGGCAGATATAGCAGATAAATTGTTCCCTGTGACTATTATGTCATCAACATATACAAAGAGGATTAAAGTGAACTCAGTTTTGGAATAAACAAACAAAGAGCAATCAGAAGTAGATTGGTTGAAACCATATGCAAGGAGACAAGTTGTTAACTTTTGAAACCATTGTCTAGATGCTTGTTTTAAACCATATAGACTTTTGGTTAATTGACAAACTCTGTTATCATTATCAGCCAAATAGCCAGGGGGAGGGGTCATGTAAACAGTTTCATCCAAGTCACCATGTAGAAAAGCATTATTAACATCTAGTTGATGAATGTGCCAATTTTTAACAGAAGCAATACTAAGGAGAACTCTGACAGTAGTGATTTTTGCAACAGGTGAGAAAGTATCAAAGTAATCTATACCTTCCTCCTGTGTGTAGCCTTTGGCTACTAGTCTAGCTTTATACCTTTCAATTGTGCCATCTGATTTGTACTTGATTTTGTACACCCATTTACATCCTATGCAATGATGATTAGGTGGTAAATGCACTAATTTCCAGGTATTTGTCTTTTCAAGAGCAGTTATTTCTTTATGCATGGCTTCTTGCCAGAGGGGATCTAAGACAGCTTTCTTATATGTCTTAGGTTCAATATTTGTAGTAATAGCAGAGGTAAAACATGCATGAGAGTGGGATAATGATGCAGTAGATAAATAGTTAGCTAATGGATAAGGTGTCCCAGATGTGTCATCATGTGTGGCAGAGGTAGAATTAGGGGGTTCAGAACTGGTAGAATTAGGGGGTTCAGAAATGGTAGGTGAATTGTTAGGTAAGGAGTGATTGTAAATTGTTAAGTATGAAGGGGGTTTTCTGGGCCTAGAGGACCTTCTGAGTATGGTGGTTGAAGGATTAGGTGCAGTGATTGGCAGTTGGGTATTTGGTGATGGAGGAGGTGAGTGATGAGGTTGAATATCAGATGGAGGAGGGTTATTGGTTGATATATTAGGTATGGAGGAAGTGGTAGAGTGTGGAGAAAAAGGAAAGTCAGGTGGTTTGGGAAACAAGTTATTTGACTGAGTAGTAAGTATAGATGTGTGTTTAAAGGGTAACACATGTTCATAGAATGACACATTTCTGGAGATTTCTATTTTCTTGGTATCTAAGTTGTAAAGTCTATATCCTTTACAACCAAGGGGATATCCAAGAAGAATGCATTTGGATGCTCTGTGGTCAAATTTTGATCTATGTGCTGTGAGAGTAGATGCATAACATAGGCAACCAATGACTTTTAAATGAGTGAGTGTTGGTGCTTTGTTGTGTAATTTTTGAAAAGGTGAGATGTTATGATGCACAGTTGATGGAATTCTATTTATGATGTGAGTTGCAGCAATAACACAATCAATCCAGAAATGCAGAGGTAGATGAGCATGAAAGAGAATTGCTCTAGCAACTTGGAGTAAATGTTGATGTTTTCTTTCTACCCTAGCATTCTGTTGTGGTGTTTCTGTGCATGATGTTTGATGAATGATGCCATTATTATTGAAGAAATCATGTAAGAAGAATTCAGAACCATTGTCTGATCTGATGCATTTGATCTTTTTGTTAAATTGAGTAAGTATGAGGTTAAAGAAATGAGGTAAATAATGCTTGGTGTCTGATTTTTGTAAAAGAAGATAAACCCAAGTCACTCTGCTATAATCATCAACAAGAATAAGAAAATATTTATGTCCAGAATGAGATGGTATGGAAAAAGGACCCCATAAATCACAATGAACAAGATCAAATGATGCAGATGCAATAGAAATGCTGTTATTATATGGTAATCTTTTCTGTCTGGCATAATGACAACAATCATAAGGTACAGTAGTAAAGCTTTTACAGTTCAAAGAAGAACATTCAGGAATACATGAAAGCTTATGAAAAGATAAGTGCCCTAATCTGAAATGCCACAATTCAGCAGGGGATGGTACATGGGGAAAATCAGAAGATACAGAAGTTTGATTACAATCAGAAACATGAGAGTTAGCAACCAGAACAGTAGTCCAGTTATTAATAGAAAGATGATAAAGGCCATTCTGAGCTTTAGCAAAACCAATCACTTTGTTGGTTTGAAGCTCCTGCAAAGTGCAGTAAGAAGATGCAAATTTGACATAACAATTGTTAGAGTCAGTTAATTTGGAAACTGATATGAGATTAAAAGTAAAATTTGGAACATAAAGCACATTTTGAAGCACAAGATTAGGTCCCAGATTGATCTGTCCCACATGGCTAGCAAATGTGTTTTGTCCATTAGGTAAGTTTATCTTTATAGATATGGGTGTAGGTGGTTTAGAAAAGAAGGAAAAGTCACAGACCATGTGATCAGTGGCACCTGTGTCAAGGATCCAGGTATTTTTGGTAAATGAAGAAATAGATTGACAATTTAAGGAAACAATACCTTGCTGTTCTATGTGAACAGTGGCAGCTGTGGGAGTAGACTCAGCCTGAGCCTTTCCCTGGGTTGTAACAAGAGTGAATTTTTGTATTCTAAAAACTCAGCAAATAGTTTGTCAGTTATTGATGGATTGGACATGTTTATAGGAGAAGGGTTATGGGTGGCAACAGAGTTGACTGATGGTTTAGTGGTTGAAGTCTGTAATGATGGGTGAATTCTAGGGCCTTTTGGACCAATCCAATTGGATGGATAGCCAATAACTTGATAACATTTCTCAGTAGGATGATTGTAACCACAGTGAGTGCATTTAAATCGTTTCTTATCTTTGGGATCAGCAGGTTTAAAATATTTTGAAGTTTTAACAGACATGACAGCAGGTTCAAATGGTTTAGAAGAATGATGTAAAGACCTCTGACTCTCTTCTTGCAACAATAAGGAGTAAACTTTTGACAAGGATGGCAAAGGAGTGGATAATAAGAAATGACTTCTCAACTGAGCATATGAATCATTAAGACCAACAAGAAATTTGATAAAGGGGATTGTGATGTGACGTCAATATTTATTATTATGTATTATTATATTATGCTTTCAATTCTAAATTTCGCCTGCTATGACACAAACAACAGAACGTTTATACATATTTAGTTATCTTTTGAATTCTTAGTTAACGTCGAGCAGAGGAACGCAAAATAATGTAATGATAAAGTTGCAGTTGAGTCATCAACATTTAACATTAGTTTCATAGCATTATCCAACAGTACAAGTGATGCGTGAAAACTGAAAAGGTATGTACCCTTATGGAATTGTGGGATAATAATATCAACATCTTGTACGCCAACGATGATAACTTGGAAGACAGCTTCAGTTAAGTAACATGCTTGAGGCCGCTAACAAAAAGAACGGATATATTACTCGAGACTGTGTATTGGAGTCGGATTGCATGATGACGTTGATGAAAATCAAGATATTGTTTAACTAACATAGTAAAATTGAATTTCGCAACTCCTACGAAATAACACTATACCGGCGGAACCGCCGATCAATCAAAACCGGTAATACATCTCAACATATTTTTTATTTACCAATAAAAAAAAAAAACCGGGAACCGTCGGAACTGGCCCGAACCGGACGAAAACCGGCGGGTCGACGAACCGGCGGGTCCGGGGCCCGAACCGGTCCCAGACCGTCACTTATTTCGGTCCGGGTCCGGGCCTCGTCCATGTGGACCGTGGACCCGGCACCTGGCCACGTCTACCTTACCGTTGTATCCACCACTGCAGGTAGATTTTGAATAGAACTTTTATTGAAATTCTTACTATTCCAGTGGCATTTTTCCAACTGTTGAAATATGACATGAAAAAAATTCAAACGGAAATTCACACAATAATAAGTAACGATAATTGGATTAATTAAATCCACTGAAATTTCAATATAATGTAATTTGATCTCTGTTAGAATAGTCAATAAAATTTTACAATGACAGCTATACGAATAAAATATCATTTGAGATTTCCAGTGGATGTCTAACCGTTGGATTTTTCATTGCAATGTACCATTTTTTTATTCCTTTATAAATTATATTTTTTTATGTAGGAGTTTTTGTTATTAATTAGATGTATTTATAATTTTTCTATTAAAAATATATTATTAAATACATGAACTTTTTAATCCATATACTTTTTAAAAATCACTCATTATTTTATCGCAAGACTACCTATTAACTTATCAATTGAGTTACATTTCATGTACATTAAATATCAAATAATAAAAAGTATTATTGTATATATATAATATAGTATTTATATATTATATTAAAAAACTAATAGAAAATAAAACGTTATTTAAAATCAAAATTATCAAAGCTTTTTTTAACAAAATAAAAATAAATTTCTAACCTACATGGATAGTATAAATAACTATTGTCTATCGTCTAAAATTTATACACTGAACTAATAAGCGCAAAAATTTAAAATGTGGTGAATAATTTGGCTCGTTTACATCGATAAGTACAAATTTAAAAGGTCAACAAGTCATGGCACCACAAACACATTTAAACACAGGTCGATATGTAATGTATTCATCCCAAAGACATTTAAAAGCAGTGTAATATTGAGTTATGGACTGAGAACCTTGATCCATAGTGCTTAGTGATTTTTCAAGTTGAAAAACCCTAGGACCACTGCTAAGAGCATAACGAGACTTAAGTTAATCCCAGACATGTTGAGCATTAGTGAAGAAAAGTAAAGATGAACGTATTTCTTTAGAAACAGAATTCAGAAGCCAAGAAAGTACCAAGTTATTAGCACGAATCCAAGCAATATGATCAGTAGGGTGAGTAGTAGGGTTAGGGGTTACCAGAGTACCATCAATGAAAGCAACTTTGTTTTTGACGCTTAAGGCCATTGTTACAGCCCTTGACCAGGATACATAATTGTCACCAGTGAATGGATCGGCAACGATGATAGCACCAGGATTGTCACTGGCATGAAGACAGTACGGCGACAGAGGATCGTCGGTCGGATGAGTCATTTTTCCGGCAAATCAACACGCAAAATACAGATCGGCGCAAAAGAGAACGGCGATTTAAGTAAATTGAAGCTAATCGGCACAGATCTGTAAGGAATGAACAGATCGGCACGGATTAGAGACAAAAAATCTCAAATCGTAGAGAATCGATCGAAAAATACGAACAAATGAATCGTAACAAATCGGAACAGCGGAAATCTATGTGGATCGAGAAGAAATCCCGTAAACTGATACCATATTATGATAGTGATATGAACAAAATATCAAAGATTCATTGAAGAGGAAAGATTACACTGAGAGGAAAGATTGTTTGTATACAGGCGAGAGAAAAAGTGAATGAAAAACTAAAACAAGAGCTAACCCTAATTTGCTATATATATATGAAACCTAAACTGAAAGTGTTGAACACTTAACAAAAACGTGTTTGGCCAAATACAATGCCAAATAATATAAAATACACTTTATACTCTAATACATTTCATTATTGATGTATAAATTGCATTATTGTGCTTTTATTCTATTCTTGTTGGAAAGGTATTACACGTGCTTGTTTTGTAGATATTTTCACATATTTGTAGAGCTTTTGGCTATTGGAGGCACGTGGTGAGTACCTAAGACCGTCGAGATGATGAAAGATTGATGCACGGATGAAAAAAAATGAAAGAAACGAGTGAAACGAGTAAAATAAGAGTGCAGATTTGTGACATGAGCACCATGCCCGTGTCAGAGGCCGTGCAACGTCAACAGAAAGATTTCAAAGCCCAAGGACCTGACACGGGCTTCGACATGGACGGTGACACGGGACTGACCGTGTCGCGCGGCGCAGACTGTTTTTTTATACCTTATCTATTTTGAAAGGGAGAAGGCTTTTGGACACAAAATGGGGGAGACACAATAGAGGAGCCCAAGAACACACAAGAGAAGGAATTGAGAAGCAAAAAGAAGATCAACCACGAAGGGATCAAGAAGATTGAAAGATCAATAAGATTCCTAGTTTTTCTTTCTTCTTCCTTTTGAACTTTTATTTATCATGTCGATTTCTAATATATTTATGTATTTGAATTCGAGCATGAGTGGCTAGATTATTTGATTCTAAGACTTGGTAGTATATTAATATGTTGAGATTTTGGATGAATTATTCTAATTGATTGTTTTCTTTTGAACCCTACTCAAATATTTTGTTCTTATTTCATGTTTAGCACTTGATCAATGCTTTTACATGTTTGACAATATTGTTCATAATTCGAGAGATGAGTTCAATATTAGGTTTTAATATTTGACACAATTTACTTGCTTGAATCGAGAGGTTAGTAGGTCGTTGTGAGGATATTAGATCTTTTAATCTATTTGGAGCTGAATTGCATGTGTTGAGTGGAGACGCTAATATATGTTATTTAATCTACGGTTTTACCGATCTCGAGAGGGACGATAAGCTAAAATTATGATCATCTTATAGGGTAGATAAAGGAAATATTTAGTTGTGATATTTTTTAAGGAACTAAATTATTAATTGAAACCACAGTCTTAGAATCTATCATTCCCATATATTTGTTATACGTGTTCTTTAGTTAATTCTTTGTTCTTACTTTATTTCCTTTGATTTATTTTCTTAGTTTAGCTAATCCATCTCATACTCGATCGTCTAAATAAAGTTGACACTATCATAATCTTGTACTTGATATATTAATTATTTGGTCTCTTGGGATACGACCTTGTTTGCCACATACTACGAGCGAAGCCGTACACTTGCGGTTGAGCTTTAAAAATATAGCCGAACAACATGGGACCAGATTGGCTGATTTTTTTTTTATTTCATTTCTATCAACTATTCACTTTGTGCTTGGGTTTCGGTGGAGCTACTGTTTGGGTGGTGCTTGATGAGGTTGGGAGGGACCGCGAAAATGAAAACGACATTGCATCGGACTTTGATTTGATTTCGGGTTCGTTTCTAGTTTGATGAGGATTTTGAGTGAGTTGTAGGAGCTTGTTGTAGGCTCCCTCTGGATTTTGGATTAGTTCCGAATGCGAACCTGGGATTGTCGAACTCTGAAGATTTTTCAAAGTTTCCAACTTACATTGGACTAAAATCAAAATAAAAACACTATTTTCCTGATATTATGGACATTGTAAGTGTTGATATAAACTCAGAAACCTTTTAAGCAATCTCCCCGCGATGAATAACAGCAATCGAGTCCGCCTATTTGACCGTGCTCAGCCAGGCAGGAACTAGTGTCGGGGTCCTGTGTAACTATCTCTCCCTCCACAGGAACTCTACAAATGGACCGAACGTCGTGCAACATGATGTTCATTTCACCAAAAGGCATGTGAAACGAGTTAGTATCCAGCTGCCAGCGCTCGACAAATGCAGAAATAAATGGAGAGTCCATGTGAGTATGCATGGAGTCCACTAGATGTGACAGCCCGGTCCGACCTATCAGATCACGTGCAGCGGGAGGCATACCAAAACTTCAAGTTCTTTACTTGTCATGCGCTCCTTGTCCATTCTGGCATTTCAGCATGCCTGTAAACTCTCCAATCCACATACGGGAGGCTACGTGTCCTAGAAAGTTAGGATAACACTCCCATCAAGGGGGCCACTGGACACTGGGCCTGTAACGATCCAGGCTTCCTCAGATACACTCCTAGATCGTTTTCTAGTACCTGCATTAGAATAGAACATATATATATGACATATTTTGACTAACTGTATTAATGGAATGTTATTATTAAATAATTATATTTAATGGTAAACAACAATATGTATGTAAATTATTTACTTGAGGATCCAGTGCTTGCAAAACAGCCCCCAACACGTGGAGGAGCAGGTCGTACATGAGCCTATCATGGGGGAGGAATGTCTTGGTCATCTGCAGACTCAAAGTCCTCGGAATCCTCTGAGAACTGCAGCCTCTCGGTTGTCGACTCATAATAATCATCCTGCTGCTGGAAGAGAGACTGCTGACCGGTCTGTACCGGAGTGATGCGTCTCGAACCGTCAGCCTAGTTAGCGTGATCAATCTGTCTCATGCAAATCTGACGCAGCATCTCAACGTCTCTCACCTGACGAGCGGAAGCATCTACATACCGACTCCTCGTGTGTGGGGGTCCATAATAAAAATACTCTGTAGCCTCTCTTTCGGTGACCAATCGCGTAGGTCTACCACCAATCTAAATCAATAATTTTAATTAATAATTAGTAAACAACCTTTTTAAATTCATATATTTTATTAATTATTATAAAACAATTACAATTAATTATTTATTACTAATATTTATGCAAATTAATCATAATTAATATTATTAATTATTATTATTTCCTAAAATACATTATTAAAAATTACAAGTAATTATTTTTTAAAAAAGTATTAAAAATCAGTATGATAATTATTCGTAACCACATAATTAATATAACTCCACTTTTTGAATATATAATTATACAAATTAATTAATTAAAATATTATACAATTTTTCAATTATATTAAACACAAGGCCCATTAAGCAAAAAAGGGCCGATCGGATTGACTCCCTTGCCTTGGGACTATACAGATATTAATTATAATTTTTGAAACAAATAATTACTCAACAAACCATTTTATTACATATATTAAAACTAAGTCTTTTCCTAAAAATACTAAATTTTTATACATTATCCTATTAATAAGTAGTATTATTAAAAAGTATTATTATCAATAATTTTAATATAATTACATTTAACTAATATATATAATATGTTATTTATAAGTAACATATTATTAGTTATACTAATATATATAATATATTATTTATAAGTAACATATTATTAATAACTACTAATCCAAAATTTATCTAAATTAACTTAAATCAAAAAATTAATTTAATTATATTTTCAATATTTAAACATTTAAAATATTTAAACATATTTAAATAATTTCAATTATTAAATAAAAAAATTTCAGGTGGCCGACCGGCGATCGCGACCGCTTTAAGTTGCGGCCGACTATGGAAACCGGCTGCGCCACGTGTGTGTGGCATCGCCGGCCGGCCGGCCGTGCAATAAAATCTTTAAAAATTTTTTAAAAATAATTTATAGATTGAAAAAAATGTATCGTAGGAATCATGATACCTTTGCCTCGAGTCCTCGATTGTCGTGATGATTATCTATTTTGTCAGAGTTGATTTAGGGGCGGCCAGGAGGTGGCAAGGCAGAGAGAAAGAGAGTGAAATTTTTTGAAAAATATGAAATTATGATGAGAGTATTTTGGTCGAAAAATGGGGCAATAGGTAAGAACAGAAGACGGTAAATAACAATTCACTTAAAAAGGAGACGGTAAATAACAATTCAATTCAAAATGAGGCATCATATAGAAACTCTCAAGTCTCAACTCGGCTAAAAGCCTAAAAACCCACCACCACACTACCCTCTTCTTTCCGACAAGGAGTAAGGGGAAGAGAGGAGAGTCACCGGCCATTACTGTCTTCTGAACTTTCGCCGCCATAAAATCGTGTCTGTTATGCTCCAATTTTGTGCGAGGGGTTTGTCTTGTCTCTCTCTCTCTCTCTTTCCCTTTTCATTTCCATAGGCACTTAACCTTATTCTGGTAGCTGCGGATTTGTTGTGCTCAATGCAATATTTGATAAACTTGGCTTAATTGGTTACCCTTACAATTTATTTGATGCAATATTCTGGTAGCTGCGAATGAATTGTTTTCACCCTTGCAGTATTAGCCTTTCAGTTTGTTTCTCTCTGCTTCTGATGTTGTTGTTGTTGTGGTCGCGTTTGTATTTAGCTATCTTTTATCTATTTTAATGAAATGGTCTACTGGGAAGTAGAAACTCAAGAGACAGTTTTTTAATCTGAAAAAGTAGCTGCATCAGCACTTGGGTAGTTTTTCCATTTCTTTAGGTTGGCATTTTTGTATGCTCCGGTGTCTACTTCTGGGGTGAGAAGTTCTTTCGTCCTCGGCCCATTTGGTAATCTATGTCGATTACGTGAAATATAGTCTCTCCATTGTTTGAGCTCCTTGTTTACCAATAATTTTCTCAATGCTGAGGGGCGTTCTTTCAAGCTTTCTGAGTTTGTTGATTTTGGTTTCGAGTAGTAATTTGTTTATTTTAACTTTTTGTCAGCCTTCATCAAGTCCTTTCTTTGAGTACCTCGTTTATTGAAATCTCTGTTGCAGAATATGAATATTTAGATTGTATCATGGAGATATTTGAATATCTCCATAACGTTGTTGGAAATATGCGGCAATTTGCATACCCCTCGCATAACTGAAAGATGAAAGAAATAAAAAAGAAATAAAAAATAAACTTTCGAGTAGAAGTGCGAAACTCGCATACCCCCTCGCATAACTGAAATAACTGGAGATGAAAGAAATAAAAAAAAAATAAAAAAAAAAATTGGAGTAGAAGTGCGAAGGGGGTATGCGAGCAATATGCAGAAATTCGCATACCCCCTCGCATAACTGAAATAACTGAAAGATGAAAGAAATAAAAAGAAATAAAAAATAACTTTTGAGTAGAAGTGCGAAGGGGGTATGCGAGCAATATGCGACAATTCGCATACCCCTCGCATAACTGAAAGATGAAAAAAATACGAAAAAAAACTTATTATGCACCAACTCTGCGAATAATATGCGACGTTTGTATGTCGCAGTTTGATCGTAGAATAATTTTTTCGACTAATAGTCGCAGATTCATTCGCCTAACAACAATAATTATTTAATGGGCGACGGACCGAATCGTATATCGAATCTCCGCATATTCGTCACAGAACAGTCACATACTTTAACTCATAATTTTCTCGTCCATGCTCATACCGGTCGTCTATCTATCGCCTAGTTCATCGCATATGTCTTTGTACTTTCTGGGGTGAAAAACTTAGTTTTTTATTGGGCGGTGTGAAAAACTTTCCAGGATTTCAAAACGGGGTGAAAGCTATTTTTAGATATTATTTTATACATATAAAATAAATAAAAATTATATATTAATTAAACCGGTTCGACCATTAGTCCGACCAGTGAACCATTGTACCAGTAGCTTCACCGGTTCGATGACCGGTCCGGTTTTGACAGCCTTGCCTAAAACCCACCACCACACTACCCTCTTCTTTCTGTCAAGGAGTAATGGGGAGGGAGAGAGGAGAGTCACCGGCCATTACTGTCTTCTGAACTTTCGTCGCCATAAAATCGTGTCTGTTATGCTCCAATTTCGTGCGAGGGGTTTGTCTTCTCTCTCTTTTTTCTTCCTGGTTCTTTCTCTTTTTTTGAGATTTATATTTCTCTCATTCTCGAACTGGTCGGGTTAATCTTTCAATTCAGTTTTTATTTTGTTGATATTTCCCTTTTCATTTTGCATAGGCACTTATCCTTATTCTGGTAGCTGCGGATTGGTTGTGCTCAATGCAGTATTTGATAAACTTGGCTTACCCTTACAATTTATTTGATGCAATATTCTGGTAGCTGCGAATTGTTTCACCCTTGCAGTATTAGCTTTTCATTTTGTTTCGCGCTGTTGTTGTGGTAGCGTTTGTATTCAGCTGTCGTTTTATCTATTTTAATGAAATGGTCTACTGGGAAGTAGAAACTCAAGAGACAGTTTTTTAATCTGAAAAAGTAGCTGCATCAGCAGTAGTTTTTCCATTTCTTTAGGTTCGCATTTTTGTATGCTCCGGTGTCTTCTTCTGGGGTGAGAAGTTATTTCGATTACGTGAAATATAGTCTCTCCATTGTTTGAGCTCCTTGTTTACCAATAATTTTCTCAATGCTGAGGGGAGTTCTTTCAAGCTTTCTGAGTTTGGTGATTTTTGTTTCGAGTAGTAATTTGTTTATTTTTAACTTTTTGTCAGCCTTCATCAAGTCCTTTCTTTGAGTACCTCGTTTATTGAAATCTCTGTTGCAGAATTTGAATATTTAGATTGTATCATTGGTCCCGCATATGTATGACTAGGTCTATCCTTGTTGTCGAACCTAAATTATGTATAATTGCTTATTTCCTCTCTTGCACTTGATTACATTTCTTTGAGATACAAGCTATTTCTTGCCAGCCTTCCTTGTATCATTTTGCAGCAGCCCTTGATGTAAAAACTTGATGATTGGAATATAAGTTGGCTATGATAGAAAACAACATAGAGGAGATTAAAATTGTACTTTCTGTTCTTTATTTCTCATTTGTGCAGTTTTGTTCTGTGAACACTGAGTGGATTTTGGATGGTAATATAATATTAACCACTAAAAAGGACTACAACTGAAGCTCATGGATATAATTGATTCCATTGATAATCTTCCGGTGCAAGATCCGCCTGGCGAAGACTTCTCGTCAGCGGATTTGAATTGGGCCAAGTTTCGGAGTGCAGACAGATGTGATGATGTGGCTCTAATTCCTTATGATCGAGCTGATGCCTTTATCATCGGAGAGTGTTCTAAGGTCGAGTGCCCAACTAGATTTCACATTGAGAGGGGAAGAAAACGGGCAAGTGGGAGCTTAAAAGAAGTCAAGAATGATGATTATTTGGAGTACAGGCTGTAAGTAGCGTACTTCAATAAGCTTTTGTTCCTTTCTTTATGTGTTTACATGATTTCAGAATATTCAAGATTCTTGTTTGCACTTATCTAGTTGTAGCATTTGATGATAAGCATCTTTGAAAATGGGAGTTAAAGTTGTATGGGTTTGAGTTTGTTATTGGCTATAAAACCATCAATAAATGCTATGGTGTTAGGCAGCCTATTTTATTTGGCAGACATACTTTTTCAACACAAATGCTCATTTACACAATCAGATGTCATTCTTTAGAAAAACATAAAATAATTGTAACTCAGTTTGAAAAGTATGACATTATTCTGTATAAGTATACTTTTTTTTTTTGGTCAAGTACGATGGTTTGACCTGCGTAAGAGATGCATAGGTGAATCATCAAATGTCTGAATGTGCTCGTTTTCATTCTATTCTTATGTAGATCTACAATGTTCAATGTATTTGTGTTTGCATTAGTAATGTAAATAGTTGCGTCTACAGTTTGTTGTCTTGCTTTTAGCCTCAGTAACACATACTCCCTTATGGGCTTATTCTATTGGTTGTGTTCTAGCTTTCCAAGGCAAGTGCATTACCGTATTCGCCTTGAAAATTTGAATGGAGGCATTTCTCTCGATGCATTTTTCAATTTCCATGCCTAATGACATGAAATAAAAAACATAATATCCTGTTCTCACAATTGATTGAGAGTGAGGGTTGTATTCATCAAAACAAAAATACCTAGGAAATAGGAAAAGATCATATTTTTACACTTTACCTTAATTCCATACCAGAACCTAAAATACACATAGTTTCAGACAGAGGGAGTAGTTATGTTCCGCGGGGAGAGAGAAAATGAAGATGGATAACAAGCATTAACCATTGTCAAGTTATTTATTTGTTTAACTTTTTTTCTCTCTTAATTGGTCAGTTTTGTTTGTGACTGTTTATATTTCAACACTGAAATGTCTAAGACTTGATCACTCAATTGCATCCAGGAGGTAAACATCACTAAACCCCTTTATTGCCGAACAAAAGAGAGAAATCTAACTATACATAGAAGAAATTACGAGACTGCCCATAAACTATCCATTCCATTCTCTTTCTCTTTCATTAATACTGTGATTGTACAATGTATACATATATAGGAAGATACTATCCATCACCTTTTTATCCCATAATTTTATTTTATTTTTTTTTTCTTTCTGTATCATGAAGGTACTGGTGCTCATTTGGGCCCGAAAACTACGGAGAAGGTGGAGGTATATTACCAAGCAGAAGGTATCGGCTAAACACTCGAAACCGTGCAGCCAGGCCTCAATCCATGCGCGGCTGCACGTGCCATTTTGTCGTGAAGCGTCTCTATTCCCGCCCTTCCCTTGCCCTCCTCATATACAACGAGAGGCGCCACGTCAACAAATCGGGCTTCATCTGCCACGGGCCCCTTGACAGAGACGCTATTGGGCCAGGGGCCAAGAAAGTTCCGTACATATGCAATGAGATTCAACAGCAGACCATGTCCTTGATATACCTCGGAATCCCCGAAGAGAATGTTCTAGAAAAACACATTGAAGGAATCCAACGTTATGGGGACTCGAATGCAGTGGCCGAAAGTCTCGCCACTCGGTATGTGCAGAAACTGGGCACGATCATAAAACACTCAACTCATGAGCTGGATCTTGACGACCAGGCGAGCATACGGCTATGGGTCGAACGAAACAAAAAGTATGTTTTTTTTTATCGGGACTCGACTGAAAACGAGCCTTTTGTTTTGGGGATTCAGACGGAGTGGCAGTTGCAGCAGATGGTCCGTTTTGGCCACCGGAATATGATAGCGGCTGATTCGACATTCGGGATTAAGCGACTGAAGGTAATCTGCGATATGCCATGTATTTTTAAGTGGTGAAGCATTGTTTATCAAATAATCCGTTCGAAATGAGTTTTTTTGGTTAACCAGAGTTAATTTTGAAAATTTTTGAAAAAGGTGATATGGTTAGTTGTTGGTGGAATTTTAAGAATGTATTGAAATAATATTTAAAATAAAATAATTATTATTGATTTGATGAAAAAGTAGGAGATAAATGATTGAAAATGATAAGTAGTTAAAATTATGTGAGTGGATGAATAGTGAATTAAAGTTGATGTGATGTGTAAGAATGATGAGTTTATATTATTTAATTATATAATTAATATTAAGGATAGTGGGGTTGAGTTAAAGTTGAGTTAAATTTTGAGTATGAAATAAATGTGAGCAAATTAGTTAATAAACATGCCCTAAAGAAATTGAAAACTGTAGTTTTATAATTATGATTAATGGCGAAAATGCAGTATCCGTTGTGCACGCTGCTTGTGTTCGACTCGAGGCAGCATGCGCTCCCTGTTGCCTGGATAATTACTCGTAGTATTGCAAAGCAAGATGTAGTCAGCTGGATGAAAGCTCTTCTTGAACGAGTTTGCTCGGTTGACTCCGGGTGGAAAGTCAATGGGTTTTTAATCGACGATGCTGCCATTGAACTTGACCCAATAAGGCAATTATGTTTGCACGTGTTTAAATATTTAGATCTTTGAAAATTTTTATTCTAATTATTCTACCTTTTTTGCTGATTGAAGTGGGGACTTATTTTTCAGGGAGATATTTTCCTGCCCTGTGCTGTTCTCCCTCTGGCGTGTGCGAAGGTCATGGCTGAGGCACATTGTTAAGAAATGTACCAACATCGAAGTTCAAAGGGAGATGTTTAAACGTTTGGGCCAAATCGTGTATGGCATTTGGGGTGGAATCGATATTGCACTCGCTCTAGACGAGTTCTCGCTTGATTTTGTAGATCAGACTTCCTTTATGCAATATTTTAAAGATGCTTGGGTGCCAAAGCTAGGTCAGTATACAGTTAATTTATTTGTATGAACTCATGTCCCCAATGCTTTAGGGCTTGATTGTTTACAAGTTAATTTACTCACATTTATTTCATACTCAAAATCTAACTTAACTTTAAGTGAGTCCCACTATCTTTAATATTATTCATATAATTAAATAATACAAACCAATCATTCTTACACATCACATCAACTTTAATTCACTATTCATCCACTCACACAATTTTAACTACTTATCATTTCTAATCATTTATCTCCTACTTTTACATCAAATCAATTTTAATCATTTTATTTTAAATATTATTTTAATACATTCTTAAAATTCCACTAACTAACCATACTACATTTTCCGAAATTAACTATGGTTAACCAAAATAACTCATTTTAGCCTGGAAGCATCTGGCGCAATCGAAGCCTATCACGTGAAGCTGAAAGCTAAGTTATACGATGAAGATGACACGCAACTTGATTCTCTCCAGCGAGTCGACTGGTTGGTCTACAAATTAACAACCGAACTCCACTCGAGCTACTGGCTCAACCGCTATGCAGATGAAAGCGACTCATTCCTTCACGTGAAGGAAGAATATGTTGCCTCAACATCCTGGCATCGGGCCCTTCAAATTCCAGATGGCAGCGTCTCATTGGACGATAAAGACCGACTTTTCGCGAAAGTTGTCAGCCAGAAAGACGGCAGCTTGACTCGTTTGGTTTGGAATGCTGGTTCGGAATTCGCCCACTGTGACTGTGAGTGGTCAATGCAAGGAAATCTGTGCAAGCATGTGATTAAGGTGAATATGGTTTGTGAAAATCTGCAGTGCTGTGGGCCTGTTATGTCGTATAGGTCTTTTATGAATGTTTTGATGGATCTATGGAGGAAATCGATGGATGATTCGGTTGAGTTGGACATTTCAGCTGCCTGGACGTGCCGAATGCTTGAGCAGATTGGGAATTTTGTTCGTCTGAATGATTCGGATGATATTGGACTCGTTGTGAATGATATGCCGTTGAAATGGGCTGATAAGAAGGCCAGGTCGTCACTATTCAGCAGGGGTTTGTCGAGGCTTGTTCAATCCTCGGTGAAAAGACCAGATAAATTTGCTGCGCGTAAAAGGAGTAGGAAGAGGAAGAGAATTTCTCGACTTTAATAATTTATTTATTTATTTATTTATTTATTTTGTGTGTGTGTGTGTGTGTGTGTGTGTGTGTATGTAAGGACTTTTGTAGTTGGAGGATTTTTTAGTATCAGGTGAGGGCTAGTTTTTGGATATTTATTGTGCTTGGTTTTTGTTTGTCAGGATCCAACACTGGTTGTGGATAAATTGAGGTAGACATTGTATTTTTGTGATGAACTGACATTTTTTGTTGTGCAGTCACAAAAGAAGCATTAAGCTCTGGCTTGAAGTTGAAGTGGGGGACCAGGTTCATTGGTGAAGGTAGCTATATAACTACTAAAGATTTGTAAGGATTTGAAGATTTGAAGCTGAAGTGGGAAACATTGTATTCATGGCTGCCATTTCTGTAACGGACATGAGAGTATCTCAATGGTCTATGGATTATTCTTTTTTATTGTCATGTGGCATAATAAATTTTATTTAGCAATTAAAATGTCTAGAAGTCTTTCTAAGCATCAAAGTACTTCTAAACATTCTCTATTATATATTATATTATTTATTAACTATATATCACTTCTCCAATCAATTATAATCTTACGCATATCTAATTATACTAAAATTGACATTAATCATTAGAAATAATATTTTGTAATTTTTTTTCTGTATGTTATACATCTCCAAATGGACAATATACCATTGAAGATGCTCCGAGTTACAACTATTTTATATTTTTCTAAAAAATGGCACCTCATGGTGGCAATGAGCATTTATGTTGAAAAAGTTAATGTATGCCGAATGAAAGAGGCTGCCTAACACCAAAGCAATTGTTAACATGGTTTTATTGTCAGTAACAAACTCAAACCCATAAAACTAACTCCCATTTTGCAACTAAATCAGTGGAAACAAGACTCTTGAATATTCTTGAATCTCTTTAAGCTCCTTTCGCCCGTTTTCTTTCCCTTGATGTGAAATCTAGTCGGACACTTGACTTTAGAACACTCCAATGATAAAGGCATTCGCTCGATCATAAGGGATTTGTCTGTACTCCCAAAATTCACCAAATTCAAATCCACTGACAAGTAGTCATCTCCTGACCAAGTTCACATTTAGGGCAAGAATCACCGAATCTCTTTCATTATCTATAGTTTTTGTCTATAGTTTTATGCAAAACAAACATTTTATTATACAGAGATTTAATGAAAAATTATTTTTCATCACATATCTGGATGGAAAACTTCTTCTCATGGTTCAATATCACAACTTTAGCAAGACATTTGTCCAACCCATGTTCGTGCTTGCTGGTATGAACGTCTGATGCGTTAGCTTGCCATGCAATTCGTCACTCATCACACGAGTGTTTTTTTTTTTTTCCTCAGTTGGGCGATTTCCTTTTCATGCACTCCATAACGTTGTTGGAACATCTTCAGTTCGTTGACCTGACCTTAAAGATTTTTCACCATCTCTCCTGTCTTGAGGCACGTCTCTAATGCAAAGCTTATATGTATTCAAGTCTATTTTGATAGAATTTGTACTATCTCCACTAGAATCATTAAAATCACCTTTAGAATTCTATGTGTAAGAACACATACCTAAATCAACGTCGAAATGTTTATGAGAAGTTGGATAACACATGAAGTTGTTGAGAGCATAGTTTTAAAACCCAGCTCAGGGATTGACCCGGGCAGACCGCCGGGTCACTGAGTCACCGATTCAGTCGTCGCGTCACCGGGTCAATTGTTGAACCTGATAATTAATTTTAAAGGCGCGGGTAGGGCAACGCCTATGCGCACCAATGGGCTCGGACGAGGGAGTTAGCTAAACAAGCGAGACATGATCAGACTTAGGTTGGTTTAGGGTTGAGAGGGCTTCAGACGATATATTTTCACTATCCGCAAGTGTACGGTGTAGCTATAGTAAGCGACGAGCAAGGTCGTATTCCACAGAGATTGTTATTAAAATATTAAGTACCAAAATATAGACGATTAAATATTATTTAGACTAGTGCATCTATTTATCGTTAATGTGCAACATAACGAACAGTAATGTGCAGTGTTTTAAACATTAATACGCAATTATTAGACTTCCAAAATGCTACGATTTTTTCGCTCAATTTTGTGCTTTTATTTGTGTGAATGCACGATATCGATTTTGGTATTTCACATATTATGTTTTCCAACCAAAAATAATATAAATATATTAAACAACATTATTGATATCGATTTTGGTATTTCATATATTATGTTTTTCAACCAAAAATAATATAAATATATTAAAAAAAATTATTGATATCATAATTATACGATCAATATAAATAATAAAATATTTTTAATATTTTATTACATAAATTAAGTAATTAGGTAAGTCTTTTAATATTTTATTACGTAAATTAATTGATTAGGCAATTCAGTTCAAAATCAATTTCTTTTGTAATAAAAGTTCAGTCGGTTCAATTGCACAATATCAACCAATCTATAAAAAAAACTATTATTTTTATATTTTATCTATTTATATATTGTTTGTTCTCAACCAACAGTAATATAAAATATTAAAAATTAATTATAAATAAAAATATTTTTTAATTATATAAATTAATTGATAATTAAAAATAATATTAATTTAAAAACACATTATTAAGGTTTATAAAAATTGAAATACACATGAACGAAAACCCAATCAATTGACTGCACGATAATATTAGATGAATTGCACAATATTGCCTATGAGAATGCACTTGGTTTATTTAAAAAATTTATATATTATTTATTTTAAACCAAAATGATAATATAAAATATTGAATATTAGAATATGTTCGCAAAATATTTTCACTATCCGCAAGTGTACGGTATAGCTGTAGTGAGTGGCGAGCAAGGTCGTATTTCACAGAGATTGTTGTCAAAATTAACTAAGTATCAAAATGTAAACGATTAAATATTATTTAGTCTAATACAAATTTAAATGGTGATTTTATTCTAAACTAATGAATGATTGCAAAATAAATTCTAACACTAATGAAGGCTTGTTCTAAAATAAATCAAAAATGAGAAAATAGATTCTAGGCTATGCTTTCCTCAGGATTATTCTAGCAAAGATTAATTATTCATTCAAACCTTATTTAATTCTACCATTCGTAGGGATAATCGCTAAAATAATTTACACCTTTCTCTCGAACAAGTTAAATCGTAGATATTAATTGTTATCTATCTCCTCTCGGTCTCAAGATGAACAATCAACTCCCATAAGCTCCTAAGATTCTAGTTCCCTCGCAATATTCTATCAACCTCTCGGTCTGTTTAGTCTCTTACGTTATGAATTTCCCAATTCTAGCAATCAACTATCTCCTCTCGGTCTCAAGTCAATCACAAATATGCATAAATACGGGCCCTTATATTCACACAATTAATAAAAGCACAAGAAATTGATAAACGAATGATAAACCGGAATGAATAAACAAAATCACTTCATTAAATAATCCGAGTACTCGCAAATCCTAGAACCCCTAAAGGGTTTAGCTACTAAACATATTCTCAAAACTCAAAATAAATATATTCATGAGTTCAATGAAGAAGAAAAAGAGAAAAGAAAGAAGAACTATTGTCGCCGTTAGTTCCCGAATCTTCAATCTTGACTTCCTCGAATCCCTCGTGTGTTTCGTGCTTTCTCTAGGCCTTCAATGGTGTCCAAAAGTCCCAAAAACGAGTTCCTAAGGCCTCTTTTATACTGTAGGGCAATTCTGGGTCGAAAAAGGGAAGAAAACGCGTAAGAATCCTATTCCCCGCAGGTCTGGTCTGCGCGTCACACGAGTCGTGTGACATGCCACACGAGTCGTGTGACTTTTCTCAACATTACAGCGAACTTACAGACTCACACGACCACCCACACGACCGGGTCACACGAGTCGTGTGGGGCCACACGACTCGTGTCACTACCCACACGAGTCGTGTGACCTTTTCTGCACCCGTTTTCGCCGTTTTTCGTCCCGATTCCATCTCCAACGCATTTCCGGGCATATTTCCTGCAAAAACAACGACAAAAACACCTCTATCATAGTTTAATAAATAAAACGAAATGGTGCACAATCACACGATAATCATGGCCAAATATCACTATATATCACTCATAATGCATGAAAATATGATGAATATCAACTCCCCCAAACTGAAACCCTTGTTCGTCCCCGAACAAGAATAAGAAAATCAGAACTCAAACATAATGAGTGATATCAAACTAGAACAGCTTCAAGTTATTCAATGCAACCAAGAAAAATTCAAACGATCATAGTCATCATGCTTTGACTATTAACTTGTATCCACCTTGAATCAACGAACTCTCAAATAGGAATATATAAGTGCCTCACTCACATGTCATCAATATATAAAAGAGAAGACATGCTCAAGTCACATTGAACACCCAGTTAACTATATGTTTGTAGATTGCTATCACATAGGGCACATAGGGCACGTGTTTATTAGGAAAGACTACTGAAAAATATATTTACTTGTAGATTGCTATCACATAGGGCACGTGTTAATAGGAATTTTTAGAGATGTTTTAATTGAGTAGGATTCTTGTTATGTATGATTTCAATATTCTGTGTTTAATATTTCACGTGTAGTTGGAAAGATATACAAAGTATTTTTGTTAACCAAATTCCTATTAGTCTTTATATAATATTTAAATGTAAATATATATATATATATATGTATATACACACACACATTTAAATAAGTCGTACAAAATCGAAAGAACATGTAGATGCGTTTTAATTGATTTGGAATATTTAAATGCTAATACGAAAGTTCTGATGCGTTTTAATTGACTTGGAATTGTTTTTTTGTTACAATAATCTGTTTATAATAAATCACATCTACATAATTAAAAAAATATAGATGTTTAACAAATGCCTATAATATAGGTGTTAAATCACGGAAGATGCAAATATTAGAAAATGTAAAAATAAATAGATGTTTAAGAACATGTTTCTCTGTTTTGCAGTATTGTTCTCTCTAGACGAAGTGAAGAATCAATTCTAAAGAAATGATTGAGNTGTATTATTTGCGTTACGTACAATCCGATATATTTGATATACATAATCGCTTTAAAAAAAAGGAAGTGATAAAAATTGGATTAAGCTAAAAAAAAAGAGGAAACGACACTATGGCTAAAAAAAATGAAATATTGATATACCAAATCGCATACAATTGAAAACGTGCATGCATGAAAACAATTCAAATACGTGCACGATAAAAATTCAAATTAAACTTTAGGAGAAAAAACAGGTTTTAAGCGGGAAATTGAAATATTTTTTCAAACATTTTTTCTTCTCTGTATTATATAGTAATAGATGGTCAAATTGATGAAACAACCAAAAAATATGCAAGATCTACATAAAAAAATCAGATATTATCGATTTGATTCAATATACGCGATATAATCAAATTATTAATTGATTGGCAAATAACCAAAATATAATTGCCAAAAATCTCGAAATCAAATATTACATAACCACGTTGGAAATCGCCAATTAGTTATTTTGCAATATAAAAATAAAAAATACTGAAAAATATAAGAGCATCATATTAGCCAAAAAAAACTTCTGAATTACATAGAGTAAATCTTTGTTATTACAAAATATAATAAGTGTTATTTGCTCACGTTTAATAATTGACATAAATCATAAACAATTTATTGCATTTGTTAAAATATATTCATATCAAATATTTATTTATAAAATTGATCTAAAATATATTTTTATCTTCTTCCCCTATAAATTTATGTAGATCGATGTTGTCTACTCATCCTGCTTTTGATTTAACTTTTGTTACACGAATACATGATTTATACTTATTTAATTCAATTCAACATAAAGTGCGAATTCGGTTTGATCAAGAATGTCACTAGTACAAGAAGCTACCCATGAAGTTGCGTTTGATTCTAATATTTGAACACAATTTGAGGCTGGATACAAGAATTATTTGGAAATCCTATTTCACGATGAGGATATCCGACATATCCTCCCGGTTATTCAAAAGGGTGTCGTCAGGATATTGTGAATGCTGCAATTAATTTTTTTCACATATGGGCTGACTGTACTATCTTGAGGCTTAAAAAAGATATGCGCTTTTAGAGCATTGGTAATTCGTATGAACACAATGAGCTGATTGCTATTGCTAGCTAATTGGATAGCGAACATTTGAGATATAATCGTTGGGATATTCATGATGGATGTGCCTTGATAGATATACCTGATGACATGTTGTAGGAGTTCACTAATGATCCTATCACTGCAATTGTTGAGAGCACCTATCCAATGTTTAAGGGTGCAACCGATGATCCTAGTTATTTGAAGGATAGGACTATGCTAGCCCCAACATTGGAGGTGGTTGATTTTATCAATGACTACATGGCGTCTTTGAACTTGTTTGATGATCTGGCATACTTGATCTCTGATAGTACGTGCAAATTTTGATTCTAATAATGACTTTTTGTCCAATCTCCAAACCCCGAAATTTTTGAATACTATCAGATGTTTTGGAGTGCTGAACCATCAGTTGAATCTTAAGATTGGAACCTCAGTCATGTTGTTGCGGAATATTGACCGTCCTAGAGCAAATCATTATAAATATTTTCAAAAATTTATTTAGAGATGTAAAATATAATGATCGTTAGTACATTTTTCAATAAATAAACAATATTATTAACTTATTTAAAATGGCATATAAAATAGGTTCTAATTATTAAAATATATACATATTTTAAAGAATTATACACACACACACACACACACACATATATATATATATATATATTGACTTTTAAAAAGAAAGTGAGGAGGGCCCAATGTGGCTCCGTCTCTGGTTATACTTAATCATTTTTAGTTATTCATCCATATAATATTTCCCAGGACTTTTAGTCACACATGGCATGGCAACTCCAGTGTTCCTCTCTCTACATTGCAAATTTACTTCAGAGTAGTACGAAAAACTTATTCAAATGTTGCGCTACATTTATCAAACTACTTTAAAGATGTGAGCAGTATTGCATTACATGTAGCGTGATTCTATTCACAGTGCCACAATTTTGTTGTAATTAGTTTTTATTTCTAAATATGGTTTTGACAATGTATAATAAAACTATTATTTTGTTAAATAATTTTTATTTTTCTTTTATAGTTTTATATTTTGTACTAATTTCATATAGATAATGTCCCATTGTTTCTCCAAAACAATGGGAAAGTTGCTTCACCATAAAATATACAAAAATTCAGGAACAATAAGCTAATTTCCATTGGATTAAACTTGAATTAACCTAAATTAATATTCAAACAAATAAAAAAATAAAAAGACAGCTATTAATAGCAGAAAACCTCTCCAAATGACCCACAAGCCCATAGTAATAGCAGAAGTTGACAAATTTTTCATATCGGAATATAACACCAATCAGAAGATGGGTAAGGTTACAATCCCGTTACGGAACCATTCCGTTGGGATTTGTAACCGTTAGATCAATTAACATTGACGGTTACTTGATGATCTAACGGTTACAATCCCAACGGAATGGTTCCGTAAAGGGATTGTAGCATTTTCCTCAGAAGATTACCTAGCTTAATGTGAGCACGCTTTGGAAACGACTCTAAAATGTCAGTTAAAGCCAGCAATCGGATAAAACTACCTTTGGCCTTGCCTGCCTTTAGTATTTCCACATTCTTTAATTTTTTAAGTAGTCTCCCTATCTTTAACCCCACTTCCATGCTTAGCCAATTCAAGGGAGTTTTATGAACTTGAATCCAAAGAGTGATTTGATTAAAGCATTGATCTTTTTCAGTAAGCCCCTCCTTCCATTCCTATCGCACAAGGTATTGGTTCTCGAAAACCTAATTTAGTCCTGCCGCAACATTATCCTTGTCCTCCTTGTTGCCAAAGATAAATTGGAAGAATTTAGCCCTTAATTCCTTCACTTCTATTTTTGGCTACACTCCTCTTCACTGGCCCGGACATCCTCTTCTGCTAATTCAATAATATGATCCTCAGTTTTTGATAGACTGGTATTATTTAACCTAGCCCCCAATTCATCTTCAAGACATGACAAATTGCAAAAGTCCACTAATCTTGTTCTTTTGCTTCCTTTTTCTGTTCGTTCTGTAGGCTTATAGAATCGACTCTCCTGCAAGAGAATTCCGCTCTCCAAAAAAATCGTTCACTTTCATTTTAACAAGATTAATATTTACTAAAGTTTAGAGTGTTTTTTATAATAACAATATGTCAGCTTATAATTTATTTTATTAGCTTATAAGTTTTATATATTCAAATAAGTTTAGTTTAGTAATTTTTTTAAAAAAGATTAGGCTTCTCTCTTAAGTTTTCTTGAGTAACTTTCAAATAAAGCAGTTGAAATTTTTATTTCAGCTGATTTATCAACTAAGTTTACCAAACACTTTTACCATATCATGTAGTTTTTCAGCTATAGCCCAAACATCTCATATATATTAATTCAAAATTTGTTAACAAAGACTTCTGCTTCGTAATTTTGTGTAGAAAATTGTGCTTTGAAATTAGGTTTTATATGATACGTGTATATAACTTTACTTTATTATCAAGCTTGATAATTGTGAATTTATTTTTGTCCTTTTTTCTTAACTTGGGCAAGCAAAAAATCTTCTCATCTTTAAAATATCCATGGCGTGTTCCTCTGCGCTACACCTGAATTCCTTCCCATGGACCATGAACAAACCACTCTCTACTTCTTCAGCTCGCCCTGACTATACGTTTTGGCCGAATTCTAACCGCACGAACCGTAGGATAGACCCGTTCTCTGTATCTGCATCTCTCGGCCCCAATTGCGCTGGCGTCACCGACGTTGAGACCACGAAAATCGATTGTCCTACGCTACGGGAGCTATGTCGAGGTCACGTGCCGGAGCACATTATGCACCGGCAAGTTAATTGCTTTCCTTGATTGATTTTCGGTTAAGATTTTGGTAGCTTTGGAATTTTCTTAATTTGATGTGCTGGGTTATGTTAAACATTTGGTTTACACAATGCTCTGAATATACTCTTTCGTTTGATTTACAAGTCTGAAGTTGCAGGGCGGAGGAGATTGGATACATCTCGCCGACTAGTGTGCAGAAAGAAGCGCTGCCGGTGTTATTCTCCGGCCGTGACTGTGTGATTCAAGCGCAGGTCCAATGCAAATAAATTGTTTGTTTGAATTGTAAATCTTTATTTTTTTTTGGATTGGAAAAACTTTGTTTAACGTTGGGCACACATTTTGGACCGTGGGTTTTTTCTGGAGTTTGAATATTTGAGGGATGTTCATTTTTATTTTAATGGCTTTGAGAAACAAGAACAAGCACTCACACACTTGGGAAATGCAATTTTTAGACAGTTCATTGTTATTTATAAGTTACTTATATATGAAGTGCAAATGAGCAATTTATAGTTGATGGAACTGGGTCTGTGATGTACGTTCTTGTGTTCCATGATACATTTACATATTCGTCGATTATGCAGTGATCATTTAAAGCACACATTTTCATATTTAGGTGATTCCAATTTAGGAAATTAATGAAGCTGCTCCTTTGCCGGATGTGAAACATTAAGATAGTGAAAAGAACAGTGTCAATATTTTTTTATTTTTTTTTTTTTTTTAAAAAAAAAAAGAGAAAAGTGAGAAATAAGAAAAGGAGAACTGTTAAAAATGTGTTTGGTTGTTATTTTCTCAATTTGCCACCAGAGGCGCCAATGAAAACTGAAAGATAAATATGCCCTTCTGTTCATCTTTTTGGTTCTTTAGACAGGTTCAGGAAAGACCCTTGCATACCTACTTTTAATACTCTCAGTTGTCAATGCTCGAAGGTCAGCTGTTCAGGCCCTAATCGTTGTTCCCACACGAGAACTCGGAATGCAAGTAGGAATTTATTCCTTCTCTAATCAACATATACAATTATCATATATTGATATTGGCATATTTGCTTTTTCGCCACAAGGAAGGTCACGAAAGTTGCACGTACATTGGCTGCGAGATCACTGGAACTTGAATCTGAGCAGAAGGCGTGTTCAGTCATGGCACTTTTAGATGGTGGGACATTGAGAAGACATAAGAGTTGGTTAAAGGTAAAAGAATTGAAATTGTGATAAATCCCATTATTGGAAGGGCTTCTGTGACTTGTCATGAGGATTAGAAGTTCATGCTTGATACATGTTCTTGTCAACGAGGCCAGCAACCAAAATGCTTTATTGAATTCCTTCTCATTTTTTCTCCTTTTATTTTAGAATAATTTCTAAATCTGATTCCTAAATTATGTAGCTCCTGACTTATCGTATAATTAGATCTTGTAAAACACTTGTATTGGCAGGCGGAACCCCCAGCTATAGTAATTGCTACTTTGAAGTGTCTCTGCCAAATGCTAGACAAGCGAACTCTAAAGTTGGACAGCATGCGTGTCTTGGTAATAGACGAGGTAAGAAAAATGGATTGCCTTTTTGGTCTCTGTACTTTCAATAAATTGTATTGAACAATTCTCAACTTTTTTCCCACTATGGAGTATGGACAAATATATTTATTTCAAAACTAAATTTTGCTTCTTCCAATGGTTAGTATACCCTTCTAAATGATTTTATCATAGAAATTCTTAAAAATGTGTGTTATATATGTTACATCTAAGAACGAATTGAGTTGAATCATTGATCTTCAGGTTCTTTAGTCTGTCTGATTCTTGTAACTTGTCTATGAAGGAAAAAGTTATAAAGTTCAACAATTGATGTCAGTGCTTTAGTGGGTGCAGTTTCCTATTTTGTTCTTGCCATTAACTTTTCTCAATCATTATGTTTTGTGTGGTCCATAATATGATGCCTAATTCATAGGTTGATTTTATGTTCTATTCTTCCAAAGAAGTTAGCTCTTTGAGGAAGCTCTTGACGAGCTTCTCGTCGATCCAAAATCGGCAAACCATATTTGCTAGTGCATCAATCCCACAGCATAGACGATTTCTGCATGACTGCATTCAGCATAAATGGACCAAGGTCCGTGAATTTACTTTATTGACTCCGCTTTCAGAATATAGCTTTATCTATGAATGTTTGTCCTCTTTTT